CCCCAAAACCCCAAAACCCCAAAACCCCGATTAAACTTAAAAAATTGAACAATTTCAATCTTATAAACGGCCAATATCTCCTTTGAAATCTATCTAAAAGTTACCTTTGGGGATCAATCTGAGAAATTGATTCTTTGCTTGGTTTTGTCTTGCACCATATCTTTTTAAAGATCTGGACTCATTCAAAGACTATTTGTTATTTACAAATTTACCAGTGATAACTAGAACTACTATAATACTATAGAATAATTGTTACCACTCCTTTCTCACTGTTTGTTTCAGCCTGAACTTTCCAGATAAGTCATTATCTAAATTTTAGATATTCTGGATGCTTTCTTCACTGAACAAATTTAAAGTGAACAAGAATAGAAGCTGAAGCTCATGAATAAGATTTACTGATTTGGATGAGAGGTTTAAGGTGGACGAGATTTGTAGATTCAAGGGAATGTGGATGAGAGGTTTTAGAGATAAAAGGAGAATAAGAAGTAAGAAAGCCGTTATATGTGATTTTAGGAGTTGACATTTGAATAGATATTTTGAGTATGAATTTGATATTGAGAGCATTTTATTATTCAAAATACCAAACAGTCTATCTTATTCTTTTCAAATTTTGCAATTTACTTTACTGCTGGTCTATTTATATTAATATATATTCTTCTCATTCATTATCTTACTTGCAGCTTTTTTTCTACTTTTCTATAACTTTCTTTTAATAAACCAATTTTCAAAATTAATTCTGCATTAAAAATGCCTAAAACTCAAAAACGACCAAACCATTAAATTAATTTTTATGAGATATTTTTCATTGAAATTCTACTTTATCTTTCAATAGAAACAGATCAATAAACTCAGAGAAATTTTCTCTGGTTATTTTCTGTTTATCATGACAACTATTACATTCACTCTCAATTTCATGATACATAAACCACTTAAAACCTAACAAAACTCTTTTATTTAACCTACAAAATTTGCTTAAATATACTATTTCCAATATTTGGCCTTATGTCTCATACCCAAACTAGACCTCAAACAAATCAAAAATGAAGTCAGAAGAAGATTCGGCCAGCACCAGTGCTGAAGATATTACCCAAGATAAAGTGAAAGAGAACAGCAATAAGAAGAAATATATTCTAACCAAGCAGTCTTTAGTATCCAACGTCCTTCCTTATTTCGGCAAAATGCAGGAATGTGACATTTTCATGAAGAATTTTTCAACAGAAACTCGGTGCCTCTGGAACAAAAACTTAAAGTTGTGGATTAAACATCTCGAAGACAATCTGGAAGAGCTCAAGGTTAGTCATGAAAATATAGATTTTTGGACTAAAAATCCTCCTATTCACAACTGAAGGCTGTATTTCAATGATTATCATATTTACACGAAGAAGTGGACTGCTAAGATTATCAAGTTTGTGAAAAAAGTTCCTTGCATGAGCCAGATCAAGCGGATTAAGATTGAAAGAAGCGGTCGCTGACAGTTTGAGAATCGAGAGGGGCCAGCTATAGAAAAGATTTTTAACAATTTAGATCAGATATCTAAAGTGTTAGGTCATGAGCCTTCACGAAGATCAGATCCTTCAGAACCTCCAAAGAAGCATAGCGTCTATTTCAGTGATATAATCAGCGCTAAGAAGTACTATGGGATTATAAATTTCAAGCTAATGATCTTTCCTAAGGTAATTCAAGAATCGAAGATACTCTGCGTCGATTCATGATATATCCTTGATAATCATTGAATTTACGTTTGAAAGATTGATGAAGAAGACTTTCCATTCATTTGACACCTCAAATTTGGAGATCCAAGAATTCCAATTTTTGAAAATGTAAAGAAAATAAAACTTTGTAAGGATGGATACAAAAAGTCAATATCCAGGATAAAAATAAACAAGATTATCAGGAAATATTATCCAAATTTGAAGAAAGTTAAACTTGATGGTGATTTTGAAATAATGTGGAAAAGCTCACCAAAACTTTGAGATATTATTAAATCAACAAATATCAAGATTGTGGGAAGACAGAGAAAACTTAAATGAAAAACTCCTATATTACTTAAAGCCGAAAATGCAATAGTAGCAAAAAATTTGTGAAAAAATGATGGAAAAGTTTATTACCGTTGGTACAGATGAAATATTGAAGTGATTGCAACAGATTTTATCATCAGGGATGAAAATATCTACATTTTCATGTTCTACATAATCTGCATCAGCAATTGCTCAAAAACAAATCAGTCACCCTCCCACCTCGAAAACATAAAATACTTCCAAAATACTGGAGAAATCTCTCACCCATTCAAAGCCTACGACTGGCTAATCCTCTCCACTACTTCCTTAACTTCCGTTTCCCCCACCTACACCTCCTTCTCCGACTGTTCCATCAAATTCTTCCCAGACCCATCCTCCCGGCTGACTCTCCTCCCCTCAAATCTTTCCTTCTACGACTCCTTGCCTTCTTCAGTGCCCATTCACATAACCTGATCTCCTGCTAACCCCGCCTTCTGCCTCTACACTCTCTTCTTCAATGTTTACCGTCTTCTCGATCAGCTTGCCCCTTCAGCCCACCGCTACTGCATCGATGTCATTGAGTGACCGGGCCACCGGTCATTTAAGGACGTATTTACAGTGGAGGCAGTGCAGAAGTTCAAGGCATTTAGAGTGGTGGTTTTAGTGAAGACGGGGCTGGAGGAAGGGGAAATAGAGGAAATGGTGCAGAAAGTTAACAGATGGGTGCAGTTGAAGAAGTGAAGAGGGATTGTAGTGAGAGGGATATGGGGAGATAGGTATGAAGAGGAGTGCCAGATGCTGAGATATGGGGCAGAGAGGGGCCCATGGCGAGGATATGCAAGTAAGTGAGTGGTAATGAGAGAAAGAAGAGGAGCAAGAGTGATAAGGGAGATCGTGAGAAGGATAAAGGTGCCAATGGGATGGAAGGTGGAAGTAGAGTAATTTTTATTATGATTTTAGATTAATTGAAGTTTGAGGGGTTTTGGGGTTTTGGGGTTTTGGGG